TAGGTAAGCAATGTCTACTGCACCACCCTGATCTATAATTTTAGTTACCCAATCAAAAAAATCAATAAGATTAGTTTGGCATCATCTCCCTGAAGTAAACCCATGTTGTCTCTGATCTTGAAATCCATGTGTTTTTAGATGTTCAGCAGTCCTATCCTTCAACATGGTTTCCATCACTTTCCCCACTACTGAAGTAAGGCTTCCTGGCCTATAGTTGCCCGACTCCTCCCTATTACCTTTCTTGTAAATGGGCACAACATTCGCTAACTTCCAATCTTCTGGGACTATTCCTGTTAACAATGATTGGTTAAATAAATCTGTTAATGGTTTTACTAGTACACCACTAGGCTCTTTTAATAGCTTTGGGTGTATTCCATCAGGTCCCATTGACTTATTTGTCTTTACTTTTGACAGTTGAAATAGAACCTCTTCCTCTGTAAACTCACGTGTAATAAATAACTCATTTATCCTTTTTCTTAACTGAAGTCCCTTTCCTTCATTTTCATCTGTAAATACAGAACAAAAATATTAATTGAGGCAGTCAGCTAGACCTTTATCCTCTTCTACATACCTTCCTTCTTTTATTTTTAATCTAACTAATCCTTGTTTTACTTTTCTTTTCTCATTTATGTATCTAAAAAATGTTTTATCCCCCTTTTTTACTGACTGTGCTATTTTCGCTTCTGTGTGTGATTTGGAAGCTCTTATAACTTGCTTAGCCTCTTTCTGCCTAATCTTATAGATCATTTTGTCTTCCTCACTCTGAGTTTTTTTATAATTCCTAAATGCTAACTTTTTATTTTGGCCACATCTGTGGAGTATCACAGTGGTTTCTTGAATTTTTTGCTTTTACTGACAAGCCTAATGCAATTTTCTGTTGCCTTCAATAGTGCAACTTTTAAATCATCCCATTTCTCTTGTACTCCATTAAGTAGTATTATTTGTATCAGTAGGTGTAACAAGATCGAACATAAATAAATTATGGAAAGATTCCACAGAGTTCCTAAGTCAAATGTGGCACCTATGACATAGTATGATTTTCTTCATTTAGAAATAAATCACAGGTTTCATTAGCATATATGGACAAGAAATGGATTCCAGAGAGTCATCAAAAATGGATAGTGTTTCAAGATCTCTCATATAGTACAATAATGGCAAGAAAAAAAGGTCAGAAACTGTACAACTAAATTAATAGATAAAGTGATAAGATATAAGTGGTGCTTTCCAACAAGCGTAATGATAACTCATGAGGAACAGAGATTCACCTCTGTAAATATCCAGCATAGCTAGATGAATGGATCAGCAAATTACAAGATTAATGACTTTGTGATGGACCGCCTGGCATTCCAACCCAGTGCCTCAGCCAATCAATGCTCCTAGTGCTCACCAAGGAATTCCAGTACTTCACCAGACACCATAAGCACTGCAGACCCCACCCTGGACTCAAGACCAGGATCCAGCTTCCAGTGGGCAGACTCTCCTACTCCCAGACAGCATAGCAGTAACAGATCTTATAAGAGCTAGTGATTATAATTCCTGGGGAGTATAGTAATATAAGCAATCCCCAGGATAGATAAAGCCATTTCCCCCACACATGAGATGAGACTCTATGTTGAGGGTAAGCAGGAACAGAATTTTAATGGAGGCACACTGGCCTTTATGCAAGCTTCCCAACAAGGTTGACACCTAGGTGAACCTTGTTGGGCACAGGGACATAAAGTGAATAAAAAAAAAAAAACAGTGTCATACAGTGAGACACTCCCATACACAAACAATATAATCCCTCCTCTGTGCTTGGGATATAATTGAATCAGGAAATGAACTAATCTAATCCAATTATCTCCAAGCACAGAAAAACATACAATTTTATGAAACCCCAAAAAGTACCTTTAAAAACACATAAAATCCTGTTCTGGGTGAATAACATGTCCAAAAAGCAACCAGATCGGTTCAGGGGTTCTGGAATTTTCTGGAAGTCATAGTTTTGACCAACCGTGCACATGGTCCTATGCCCAAAACAGTTACAAGGAAATCAATGCTAACAGTCGGTCAAGTTCGATAGTCTTTTACAGGTTTTCCTGCAGGGCCCATAGTCTGTGGGCAGGAGGCTGACAAGTAGGCCCCTCCAAGTACAAGTGGCGAGGTTACTTTCGCCACAGACTTGGTTCCCTAATAAAGATTTGCTTACTTTTTTTTATACAATATAATTTTGGTTGTTTTATTTATTTATATTTAAAAAAATTTATTTGGATAACGATGATATCAAGATATCAAATCACCTGTATATAAGAATTTGTACAATTTGTGAGATGCCCAATAAAAACAGCACAGAAACAATTACAAAATAGCTTAATGATACAAAAGTGTGTTAACACATGAAAAAGAATAAAAATAGAAATAGAAATAATAGGGACACACATAAAGAGAAGGTAGCAAGGGAGGTAAGTGGTGTAAAATAATAGAGAGGAACAATTAAAAAAGGAATAAATAAGTGCAACTCACTGAATACATTACTGATAGGAAAAAGGGAAGAAAAATATACAGGGAAGGGAAAATTAAAAATTACATTTAGTTGCACAATTTCACAAATAATTAATAGAGAGTGTGTGGCAATTATTACATTTTTGTTAACAATTGCACTAGGTTATCGAATCACTTATTACACAAGAATTTCAATAACGTGTGAGGGTCATTATAAGGATAGAATAGAAATAATGATGTAATATCACAACGCTATAAAAGAGTTTATCACTAGAAAATGGAGATAAAGAGCTTATATAGATAAATTGGGGCACTCACAATAAGAGAAGATAGTGAGGGAGGAGAGGGGGTAGGGATAAGATAAAGGAGAAATAATTATTATAATGTATTGTGCACATAACCAACAACCACATTATTTTTTAATAGCACAATTGCACAAAGAATTAATAGAGAGTGGGGGAGAATGAAACTCTCTATGAATGTATAATTCACAAGATAATATTAAGAAGGATAATATGATATTCATAGAGCTATTATATATATATCACATTGGGATTAAGAAAGATAGTAGTATTCACTAGAATTGATAACAGAAGGATAAATATACATGATGTAATGTTCGGCATAGAATGATTATCAGTGATATTAATTATTTGTAATATGTTATATTTATTAAGTTTAAGTATTTAATTTTTTTTTAAGCAAATAAGATAATATAATTGATTGTTATGCTTCACTTCAAAATAGGTTATTAAAGGAACACAATTGCAGATAAATTTAGTCATACCGTAACTTTAAGAGAATTTGAGGAGGTCAATTTAAAACCTTAAATACTTTTCTATTTATCTTTCCAATGTTTTCAATAATAAAGAAGTTAGCAGACAGTTGTAAAAATTTGTGAGAACAGAATAGATTGCATCATGAAAAGAAAAATTACTTGATTGGAGAGTCACAACAATTGTAGCAGCGAAAAAAAAGTATTTACAGAATAATTAAGGTCTAGAATATTAGTTTGTAGCAATGTAGCAAGGTTAAGTAGAGTTAGATTAATACTTATGGTTTCCAAGTAACTTGTCTCAGTGGAAGCAGTTCTTGGCTGGATTAGAGTGATGGGATATGTCCTGCTGAATTGTGCAAGAAGATCCTGCTTAGTTAAGTGGGGAAGCCATAGTCCAATTATCACTCCGGGTCTGGGAAGAAGATGGCAGAGAGGTCATGGTCCAAGCAGAGATTCGAGGATAGGAGAATGCAGCTGCAACGCTTATCTGGTTCGGTACACTAGAGGAATAAAGGAGTTAAGCGTGGCGTTCTCGGGAAGAGACAAAATCACTCAGCAGTTTCTGTTTGTAATTTCTGACAGGACCCCCTACCCAAGGAGCACCCCCAGGTTTGTGGGGATAACGTCTGTGAAACGCAGAGACCAGTCTAAGAGCATGAACATCGGAAGATATTGTAATGAGCCATGATGAAGACAGGAGTCAAGTATTTTTTAAACTTTGTATTCTTTCTGACCATTAATGATAATAGGATCAGGATTGTATTGGATATTCCTAAAGAAAGGGTCTGGTTTGTGAGGTTTTAGCAGGGATACATGGAATACGGGATGTAACTTGACAGAAGGTGGAAGAGTAAGTTTGACTACAGATTAATTTATGATTCCTTCAAAATGAAAAAGACCAAGGTAGAGAGAGCTTAATTTCTTCGAAGGACGGTTAGTCTTGATGGTTTTTGAAGAGCGCAGAAGTAACCCCGAGGGAACAGAGTTTTGGTAAGTTCTGACATTGATAGCGCCAATTTCCCAGGTTCATTTTATGAACCTATAATATTGTCTATGACAATATTTAGATATCCACTTAACCCTAGCCACGGTGGAGGATGGGTTCAGAGCCACAGGAACTAGTGGAGGATCAAGAAGAATGATGGTAGTTCTTCATATTTGTGTTATGTGTTTTTTTTGTTTTTTTTGACAATCTTTATTTATTATTTTATCTTTTCTTTTTTTTCTCATCAGTGCAGAAAGACAATACAATTACAATCTTAGATAAAGGCCTATAACATCGGGCCTAGAGAATCATTGTTATCGAAAAAGTACAGCGAGATGGTAGCATCTAAGCAAAAACACATCGAAAACCACAACCGTAAACACCCTCCCGAACCCCAAGAATGGCCAGCCTCTCAGTACCCCTTCGGGGGTCACGTGAGGCGAGTAGAGAGTAGGACATGGTAATCGCAGCTATCCCGTTGGCGTCGTAAAGCTGTGATACGTATCCACCACGTGTGTCTACCGCTACGTCCCCATGGGCCAATTGATGCGCCCGCTCATGTTCCCTAACCCCGTTAGCCCCCCTCTACTGCCCACCCGGTGTACCAATGTGCTTAATATATAATTTAACATCAGAATGGCCTCCGGCCCGACAGCTCCCCCCCACCCCGGTATTGCTGGATGCCCCTATAGAGCAATTCGGGCGTCTATTGCCTGGGTAGTCCATTTGGCTGCGTACCCCCCTACAGAGCCCCGACCCCATGAAGGCGCAACCGACCTCCTGCCCGCGGGCCAAATACCTTCCTTGGTGTGGGCCTCTCACCCATCCCTACCAAGATCTATAACCACATAGCCTCATCCCCTTCAAGTGCACGTCCGTCTTATTGCCTGCCCTAGCCTTATATCTCCCTCCCTGCGCTTCAAATTGATCCGTGAGCTTGGTTAGGGAGTCGGAGAATTCATAAACCTATACCCGTGCGATCCCCCCCGATTGTCAACCGTCGGGACGTCAGGACGGGGAAGGGAGGAGGATAGTCATAGCTGTACTGTCAGGTAAGTGCCGCCCCCAAGGTAGTTCGGAATCCGTGTAGTTGTCAGTCTGTCAAGGGAGAAAGAAGTTGCGCCGGCGTGGGGGCGCGCCCCCCCCGGGCCGGCCCCCCACCCGCGGCCCCCCTCGCAGTGTACTCCATCCAAGGAAACCATGTAAGGGCACATTTATCCGAACGTCCCTGCAGTTCCATGTTGTAAATCGCTTCGACTCGGTCCACCCACTGGCGAAGGGACGGGGCAATCGGTTTTCTCCATAGCGTGGGGATAAGCGATTTTGCCGCCGTGAGTAGATGGATAACGAGGCCCTTTTTGTAGATGGTCACTGGCATGCTCGTATGATTCAGCAGCATCTGCAGCGGCTGGAAAGGTATGTCTACCCCCGTTATGTCCTTAATTGCTTGGTGTACCTCTCGCCAGAAAGGCTCAATGCCTGGGCATGCCCACCATATATGAATCCCAGTGCCCTCCGCAGCGCCGCACCTCCAGCACTCGCCCGAGAGAGTCTCGTGAACATGACGGAGAATATCCGGGGTTCTGTGCCATCGCGTCAATATCTTATAATTGCATTCCTGAAACTTTGAGCTAATGGTCCCCTTGTGCGTCAGTTGGAAAAAATTTTGCCACTCCGTTTCCGTCAGCTCGATCCCTGTTTCCCGTTCCCAGCGTATCTTGAAGCCTAAGGGGCTGTGGTCTCCGCAGTTCTGCAGCATGGAATATAGGTGTGAGATGCCGTGGGGGATATGCTGTCTGGATACGCAGAGTTGCGTGAAGTAGGACAGTGCGCGTTGAAGGTGAGCCGTCCCAGCGAGGGAGGCTACATATGTCTTGAGCTGGTAGTAGCGATATCTGTCTAGGGTGCTCGGTTCTCGATCTTGGAGGAGCTCCGCAAGCGGTTTAAGGGCCGGTCCGTTACACCACTGGTGTAGGTAAGTCCAGTCCGCGGCTCCAAAGGACTGCAGGTCTCCCGGGGAAAGTCCCCCCGCCAATCTTGGATTATGTGTCACGGGTGTAAGCGGGTTTGGAGACGACGTAAGTTTTTTAGAGTAGCGAATGCTACACCACACTTTCAGTGTAGCATCTATCAACGGGTTACCTGTTTGCAGATCCTGGAACGTAGCCCCTCCCAGCCACAGTTGGGCAGGGATTTTGCCTCCTCTAGCCTGTAACTTCTCCATCTCTACCCATTGTTTACCACTTGGGGCTGCATGCCAGTCCACTAGACGGTAAAGGTGTGATGCCCGGTAGTACATAAGGGCTGAGGGTAAGCCCATACCGCCCTCGCTGCGGGGGCGTTCCAGGATCTCCTGCCGTACCCGAACAGGTTTCTGGTTCCACACAAACTGTCGAAAGGAGGATGATAGTGTCTGGAAGAAGCTCCGTGGGACCGAGATCGGGAGCGTCTGAAACAGGTACAGTATGCGGGGCATGACGTTCATTTTGATGGCGTTGATACGACCAAACCAAGATATGTATTGCGGGGCCCAGCGCCTCATGTCTTGTTGCAGAGTTGACAGTAGAGGGGCAAAATTCATAGAATAGATTTGGGTTAGGTCACACGGTAACCAGACACCTATGTACCGCAATTTGGTCGGGCAAATCTTGAAGGGGAAATGCGCCTGAACATGTCTCCGGAGGGAAGGGCTCCGGGAAAGAGGCATCAATTCCGATTTTTCTAGGTTGAGTTTCAGATTGGAGACTGAGCTATAGGCTCGAAAGGCTTCCAGTAGGTTCGGCAGTGAAATCCTCGGCTGTTCCAGGAGGAAGAGCATGTCGTCCGCATAAGCGGCCACCCGATGCTCCCCCCCCCCCAACCGGCACCCCGTTATACCCCCATCCCGTCTGACCGCCTCCAGGAAAGGTTCCAGGGTGAGGGCAAACAGGAGGGGGGACAGGGGGCATCCCTGCCGAGTGCCGTTGCTAATGTTGAACGAGCCAGTGAGCGCACCATTAACTCTGATTCCCCTTGTGCGTCGGCTTGGAGTACAGCGCCGCCACCCACAATCGCAAACCAGGTCCAAAGCCCATATGCTCCAGCGTCTCCAGCATATATGTCCAATCAACTCTATCGAATGCCTTCTCGGCGTCGGTGGAAAGCAGCACCATCTCCTTCCTAGTGGTTCGAGCTAGGTGGATAGAGTTGAGGGCCCGAATGGTATTATCCCGAGCCTCCCGACCCGGAATAAACCCTACCTGATCTGAGTGGACGAGATCCGGCAGAGACCTAGCCATCCGGAGAGCCAGGGCTTTAGCAAACAATTTAATGTCCGCGTTGAGCAAGGAAATCGGCCTGTAACTAGCACACTCCACGGGGTTCTTGCCCTCCTTAAGGAGGATCGTGACTGTTGCCCTCAGTGAATCCTCATGGAACCGACCCCCGTCCCACAAAGAGTTTAGCCCCATCACCAGGCGGGGCAGGAGGACATCCCGGAAAGCACGTAGGTAGGAGGCTGGTAAGCCGTCCGGGCCTGGTGCCCGATGAGCCTTGGTCACCTTCAAAGCTCCCGAGAGTTCCTCTAACGTCAAAGGAGCCTCAAGATCTGCCATCTGCTCCTGGGAGAGTCTGCGTGCGACGTGGTTCTGTAGGTATGCCGCGATCCTGACCTTGTGCCGGCTGTCCTCCGACGCCGAGCGGCCCCGTGTCTGATCATACAACGCCGCGTAGTACTCCTGGAACGCACCCAGGATGCCATTTGGGAGGCGCGTAATGTCCCTCCCGCCCGTGCGTATTTTATGGACATGTTGCAACCTGCGCATCCTCGCCAGGAGCTTCCCACACTTATTGGAATGTTCGTAATAGTATCTAGCGGCCCTCCTCGCGGTAAACATCACCCCCTGCGACAGAATAGTTTTCAGTTCTCTACGTTCCTCCACAAGTTTAAGATATGTGCCCTCGTCCAAAGACTGTTTATGGGTCCCCTCCAGATCTGCGATGCGTGCTGTCAGGCTCGCAATGCGGGCCAGTCTGTCCTTTTTGCGCCTGGTACTCTCCGCGATGAAGAAGCCCCGAATGACACATTTATGCGCCTCCCAAAGCCCTAGGGGAGGCAAGTCCGGGTCCTCATTGGTGGTAAAGTAGTCCGCCAGAGCGCGGGCCGCCGCCTGCGTAAATGCCTTATCATCCAGCATGGTTTCGTTAAGCTTCCACTGTCGCTCACTAGGCTTGAATAGCGGGGAGCTGGTATGAACCAGGACTGGTGCATGATCCGAGTGGTCCAGGATGCCTATGCGCGAGCCCTGCAAGAAGTTTAGAAATTCTTGTGCCAGGAAGATATAGTCGATGCGGCTGTACCGTGCGTGCGCTGCGGAGTAATGGGTGTAGTCCCGCTCGTCTGGATTGCAAGCCCTCCAGCAATCCACCAGTCCTATCTTGTGCAGAGAGCGTTGGATCTGCCTGATGCATGGTGCCGGGAGCGCGGTTGCACCCCTGGAGGTATCAAGCAATGGGTCCAGCGGTATATTGAGATCCCCCGCAAGGACCAATAGGCCCTCCCTAAATTTTTCCAGTTTGGCTAACGTCCGGGAGAGGAAGATGTGCTGCCCCTTATTTGGGCAGTATACACTTGCGAATGTATAGGCATGATCCGCTATGGTACCCTTTATAAATAGGTACCTCCCCCCCGGATCCGCCTGGGACGCTACGTGTTGGAAAGGCGTCGTCTGGGCGAATAGGATGGCTACACCCGCTCTTTTGGCAGTGGGATGATTAGCATAAAATCCTTGTGGGAACCGCCGAGTCTCCAATTTGGGGGCATCTCCCCCCTTGAAGTGCGTCTCTTGCAGGAACGCTACGGATGCCTTGGCCGCCCACAGCTGCCTCAATAGATGCGATCGTTTTTCGGGCGTATTGAGCCCCTGTATATTATTGGACCAATAGGTCATCCGTGCCGGGACAAAGCCCCGGCCGGGAGCCATCACCGCGACGGAAGGGCGCCCCCGCAGCGGCACAAGTGGTACTGTGGAGCGTTGGGAGCAGTAGGAAAGTCAAGTCAAGTACACAAGGTCGTGAGAAAACCTCCCCCCACCCTCTGGGAGCAACGTCGACCCTTAGCCGGGGATAGGTTACCCGTTCGAGGGACCCCCGGCTCTATTTACAAAAAAGGGTCTGTCTCAGTGAAGATCAAAAGGGCCCCTGACTGTATTGGCGTTCCCACTAGGTGTAGTAGTCAGAACCGCCCCTGCTTCCATCGGCTCCCACCCTGTGTGTCAGGTATGCGTGTATCCAGCAACTAGTGTATAGGTATCGTGAGGAAAATCAAATGAGACCACTCCCCCCCCCGAAGCCTCAGCCCATCCCCCCTCTATGTGTAAGCCCACAGCCATAGGGTGCCGGTGGCCTTTCCGAAATCCCCCCTCATCTCCCTCCTGCAACATCCAGGGGTGGCTACCGGCAGGAGGGGCCCACCCCAGCTTGGCTGCTGAACCCACCACGAAGCTCCGGCCCCCCCTTCACTCCAGCTGGTCCCCACACCCTCCCTCCACCTCTCTGGACCCGCCTCCTCTCCCTCCCGATACCCCCCCCTCCGCTCTTGTCCCCACACCCCCCGACCACCGTGATATCATCCACTCCCTGCTAACCCGTGCAGACAGGCTACGCAAAGACCCACTCCTCGGCTCCCATCAGTCCCCCCCACTCCCCCCCAGATGGGAAATGGAGCGGGAGATGGGAAAAAAAAAGGGGGGAGTAAAAGAAAAATAGATAAAAGGTACTAATGACGGGGGGGGGGGGAGAAGGAGACCGCTGCGTATGTCCCTAACCAGCACCGGCGTCCCCAAGCATCCCCACGGTCCGCCGGGCTCCCCCGGTCTTCAACGTTCCCTGGGCCCAGACCAGACCAGCCTGCCCGCCCAACTTATACTGGATCCCACCTGGTAACCCCAGCCCTAAAGCTACCAAGCCCGTAGAGCCCTTCCCACCCCACCTAAATGCTAACTCCCCACCTGTCACCCACAGGCAGCTAACAGTCCTCCACTAAACATACCCCTCCAGTGCTGTCCGGCGGCCACGACCAAGTCACCTAGGGTCCCAGCAGGTACAGGTCTGCGGGATCCCGGCAGACCGGGCTAACCGCTGCTATTCTTCAGGGCCATTTGGCCCCCCTCTGCGTCGTTGGGGCTCCCGATCCGGGTGCAGGTTGTGCGCCATCTCTGATGGGCCCACCGCTCTCGCCGGCGGACCCTCCAGGATCCAGTTCGGGATGGCGACATGGGGAAGGCCAGCATTGCGGAGAAAACGAGGAATGTCATTCGGCCATTTTAGAACATGCCACATGTTGTCCACTCGGGCCTGAAGACTGAAGGGAAAGCCCCACTTGTACGGGATCCTCCTCTCCTGTAGTAGCCGGGTAAGCGGCCTCAGGGCCCTCCTGGCGTCCAGGGTGGTCTGCAACAAGTCCTGGAACAGGGACACCGGGGAGTCCATGTAGCTGAGGTCGGGTCGGGAGCGCGCTGCTTTCATCAGCTCCTCCTTGAGCGGGAAAGACACCAGGGCGCAGATCAGGTCTCTGGGGAGGCCATCCCATCTGGGTGCCCGGAGAGCCCTGTGAGCCCTCACGATGCCAAAGTCCTCCGGAGCCGCCTCACCCAGCAGGTGTGTGAACAGGCCGGTGAGTATTTCCTGCGGGCTCTCCCCCTCCGCCTCCGGCAACCCCCGGACCCGAATGTTATTCCGCCGGCCCCTATTGTCAAGGTCCTCGACCTGACGGCGGAGGTCCAGAAGCAGGTTCCCCTGCCGAGTGGTGGCCAGATCCACCGCCTGCTGTCGGTGAGCATTCTGTATGCGATCAGCGTCTAGGGCGTCCACGCGGTGCTCCAGGGCTGTCAGGTCTGCTCTCACCGCCGCGATCTCCTCCCTGATCACTGCCTGAAGCTCGGCAACCATCTCTGATTTGTCCCGCCGAGTAAGCATGCTAGAAGAGATTGCCGCTATATCCATCGATATTTGTGATAGGGCCGCCGGGTCTACGGTGCCGCGGGATGAGCCGGCAATGCTGGAGCCCGGAGAGGCGGGAACTGACGAGGCTGTGTCATCCTGCAGGCCTCTAGGCCCCGTAATGAAATCGTCCATCGGGCCGGATTGGGACCGTGACAGAGCCCCCCCGGGCTGCCCAGAGCTGAGTGTTCTCTTGGTTTTCCCCATTTTTGCTGAGTGGGATAACGGCTGGAGGCGAATTAACTGAGGCTTTACAGGTTGAGGCCTAGGAGCACAGGCACCGTGCGTCTCACTCCATCAGCGGTCAGGCCACGCCCCCTCTATGTGTTTTTTTTTAATCTTTGGTTTTGTAATTGTGATTTCCTTGCTCGAGGTAGAAAACATGCTAGAGGAAAATTAGGGAGTTCTTTCCGATGATTAAGTTCATGTCTATTAATGCTCAAGGGTTAAATTCACCCTATCAATGTTCAGCATTAGTCAAATTAATAAAAAAATAAAAAAATGATATATGTTTTGTACAGGAGACCCACTGGTTGAAGCACGATCAAGTTCCATTGTCAGACACATTTCTCAAGTTATAGAGTTCTCTTGGGAGATACAAAAAAAAAAAAAAAATAAAGGTGTTGCTATACTAATATCTAAAAAAGGTACAATTAGAAATAATATACCAGGAGTGTAATCCAGAGGCTAGATTTATTGTTTTGATTTGTAAAACAGAGGAGAACATCTATACCATGATTAATATTTATGCACCCAAATATAAGTCCAATTTTTTTTCATTAAAAAAGTGTTAGAAAAAGTTGAAAAAAATCCATAAAGGATCGATTATCCTAGCAGGTGATTTCAATTGCATTATGGATACAAAGAGTGATAAGTGTATTTCACAGGGTAAAACAACAAACTACAAACTTTTAAAGGCAGCACACTCTTTAGAATTATTAGCTAAAAAATGTAAACTCTACGATATATGAAGAATTATATTGGTTCAGCTTTTAATGCATATTATAAACAACTTTATAATTTACCCTTTAAGATAACTGCAGATAAAATTAAAAAGTATATAGACAAAATAAATATTCCTAAAAACAAAAACAAAGTAAAGAACTAAATAACCCGATTAGAGAGGATGAAGTGATCTGAGGCATAGAAAATTTAAAGAAAAAAAAATTGCCAGGACCGGATTGTTTTAGTGGTCTTTCTATAAGGCCATGAAAGGGAATATTAGTGGCTATCTGACAATGGCATTTAACGAAATGGGTAATAGGGGATATTCACCAGAAGAATTTGCAAAGGCTAACATTATACCAATACTAAAGCCAAAGAAAGATCCAGATAAAGTGGAGAAGTATAGACCTATATCACTTATCAATTCCGATGCAAAACTGATGGCTCAGAGGCTGAAACAGATCATCCCACAGTTAACACACTGCGATCAAATAGGATTCACGTCAGCCAGATTGTCCAATAATACCAGGAGGATAATTAATATGCTAGATAAGGCAGATACAAATCTACAAACCGTTACAGTAATATCAATAAATGCAGAGAAAGCCTTTGATCGAGTGGATTGGGGGTTTCTGTTTTAGTCTCTGCGTAGTTTTGGGATAGATGCATTTATGTTTGGTTCTAGTAAATCATTATACGCTTGCTCAACTGCTAGAATGGTGGGCCAGAATATACAAGCAGACTGGTTTCTAATTGGTACTGGTATAAGACATATTTGAACTAAAAATAAGAGATAATACTGAAATCAAAGGATTTTGTATTGGGCAGGAAGAATACAAGATCAGTTTATATGTGGATTACATTTTAAAAAACAGATAAATCAGATCCTTTAAAATCTATTAAAGCTCTGTTGAACGAGTTCTTCACATATGGTTCTGTCTCGAATTGCAAATTAAACTTACAAAGAACTATGATTTTACCAAATCATTTTAGTAATGAGATCCTAGTAACTTGACCAAAGACATAAGCAATTTGTTTCGTTATAAATGTACATTCGGATGATTTTCGTGCAATTAGGATATTCGGATGATTACAAATGTCTGAAGTGCCGATGTTCTGAAGTGCCGATGTTCAATCGTTCGGAAGTGCTGAACTGAACCGAATTGCCGAAGTTCCAAAGTGCTGACGTTCGAAACTTCGGAAATGCCGGAAAAGTGGCAAAACAAGAGAGAAGGAGGGAAAATTACGCGAATGATGACAGGAATCTTGACCAATAAGCCAATTCCTTTTGTGCAAAGTAATACTTGCTTGCCCAATCAGGTTTCACTATTCCCTGTCCAATGAAATTAGCAAATTTTTGTGATTGATGATAGAGGACAGCCAGTTAATGGTGATTTTGTCACTGACACTTAGCCAATGAAGACACACAGAGTCATTGAGGTGGGATAGTAATAAATCAGGCCTTTTCTTTTTTTAAAGTTTTTATTTTGGTAAAATAGACAGTACAGGGTAAATAGTGAAAAGGATGAAGGGTACTAGCGCTTATCTTACAATACTTATTTTTTATAAGTAAATCTCCGTGTTCTATATACCATAGCAGCTAACACAAAGACGTGTGACTTCTCCACAAACACCAACAAAATAGCAAAAAAGTTTAAAAGTGTAGCGCTTCAAATACAAAAGATTACCTTAACAACAGTGGTTATGGTGGTTGTGTATAAGGTTATAATTCCTTACACCTAAAGGAACACAAATAATACTACATAGTGCAGCTTATAGGTACAGAGAGTAGTACAATAAAATTATTAGGTAGAACACTCACAAACAGGGAGCTATACATATACTTCGAAGGGCGGGGTCTCCGGAGTATCTGCACCCCTAAGTCAATTGCTATTGTAGCAAACAGAAAACTGGATTGGGGAACATCCTGTTAGTGTGGGAGCAGTAAGGTGTCCTAGAATACTTGTGTGATGAGGTACTTTAATATGGTGGGTTTTAGCAAGTCAGCACATACTGAACTCATTGCTCCATTCACCAGTATTGGTATTGTGTACCCATCTGTACCATTTTCACTAGGGTGGGGAGGTGTGGGGTCTGTGGGGTGAAGTCACTGGCTTTTTATGGGCTCATATTGTGTTATTCTGAAGGTATATGCACCAGTGGTTCCATGTGGATGTGTAAAGGTGATAACTGTGGGATAGGGAGTAGCAGATTTCCTCTAAACTCCTGGTGGTCTCTACATTTTGTATCCAGTCTCATATGGATGGGGGATTGGATTGTTTCCAAAACACTGGGATGAGCTGGTTTGCAGTTGTTCTGAGATGTAGTAGCAGAGGTACTTTAGCTTTAGGAATGTTGTGCAGGGGTAGAAGGAAGATGAAAGTATCAGGGGTGAGGGAAAGGGTTTCCATAAGGATGGTTTGGATCATTCCCAAGATGTGTATCCAGTACCGTTGCATCTCTGGGCATGTCCACCAGATATGTGCTGGTGTACCATTAGGTTGATGGCATCTCCAACAGAGGTTTGATGTGTGTGGGAACAATTATTGGAGTTTAAGGGGTGAGTAATGCCACCTAACTATACGTTTATAGTTACTCTCTTGGGTCACTATATTTCAGGAGGATTTGTGCTGAGCAAGATATTACTTTGCTGCAGAGGCATTTAGATAGACTGGGGGACTGGGCACTCAAATGGCAGATGAAATTTAATGTTGAAAAATGCAAAGTTATGCACTTCGGCGTAAAGAATACACAAGCAACGTATACCCTTAATGGAAGCGAATTAGAGATAACAACACATGAAAAGGACTTGGGAATTGTTATAGACAACAAACTATGCAGCAATGTCAATCAGCAGTGGCCAAGGCCAGTAAGGTATTGTCATGCATGAAAAGGGCATTCATTCTCGGGACGAGAATATCATTTTGCCTCTTTATAAATCACTGGTAAGACCCCATATTGAATATGCTGTGCAATTTTGGGCACCTGTTCTAAAGAAGGATATTATGGCACTAGAAAAAGTGCAGAGGCGGCTACAAAATTAATAAAAGGAATGGAACATATCGGCTATGAAGAAAGGTTAACAAATTTAAACCTATTTAGTTTAGAAAAACGTCGCCTGAGAGGGGATATGATAACATTATACAAATATATTCGGGCCAATACAAACCATTGTGTGGAAATCTATTCACAAACCGGACTTTACATAGGACACGAGGCCATGCGTTTAGACTGGAAGAAAGAAGATTTCGCCTAAGGCAAAGGAAAGGTTTTTTACTGTAAGAACAATCAGGATGTGGAATTCTCTGCCTGAGGAAGTGGTTTTATCAGAGTCCATACAGATGTTCAAACGGCTACTAGATGCATACTTGCAAGAACAGAATATTCAAGGATATAATCTTTCAATGTAGGGTAATAACTGCTTGATCCAAGGATAAATCTGACTGCCATTCTGGGGTCAAGAAGGAATTTTTTTCCTAGCTTGTTGCAAAATTGTGCTTCAAACTGGTTTTTTTTCGCCTTCTTTTGGATCAACAGCAAAAAACAAATGTGAGGTAGACTGAACTTGATGGACGCAAGTCTCTTTTCAGCTATGTAACTATGTAACTATGTGTATGAGCTTAAATATTTTATGCCATTTTTCAGGTGGTATGGTAGTGTTAAGTTCCCTTTCCCAGTTCGTGGTAAAGTGTTTGGGCTGCGTGGAGAGAACCAAGGAGTTTATTATGGAGATTAGTTTCTTTTTTATGGCCTGTTTCGTACAGTTTAATTCAAAGATTGTGTGTAGTGATGTCCCGAACTGTTCACCGAACGGTTCGCGAACGGTTCGCCACGGTTCGCCACAAACGGTTCGCCACGGACTCCAGTCAGCAGACACATTCCAGCCAATCAGCAGCAGACCCTCCCTCCCAGTCCCTCCCACCTCCTGGACAGCTCACTAAGCTTCAAAATGGATGCTGTCCAGGAGGTGGGAGGGTCTGGGAGGGAGGGTCTGCTGCTGATTGGCTGGAATGTGTCTGCTGACTGGAGTCCGCGGTGAACCGTTCGTGGCAAACCGTGGTGAACAGTGGCGAACCGTTCGCGAACCGTTTGGCGAACAGTTCGGGACATCACTAATTTTGTGTTTTCGGTGTTTGCCATGGGCCAGTGGTCCTGTTTTAACAAAATATGAGAGTTGACCAAATTGGAATTGTTGTAGTGCGGAAGGTGTATGTGCAGATATGAGGGTGGAAGCGGTTTTAACCCGGAATCATCGGCTAGAGTACCAAGCGTCAAGTAAGGGGAATTATGTTATGGTTTGTAGGACTTGCTGTCTTCCCCTGGTTTAAATAATGGGTTGTGTGTGAACGGATACAGGAGTGAGGGGTACGGGGATATCTGCAGGTGATTCCTTGCATGTGCTCACATTTGCAGCATGGGGGTTATGGTGGGATGTGCGTGGTGGTGTATTAGCGCTTGTCCGGTTTTATACCTTGGGATGGTAAAGATAGGGGCTAAAGAATGAGCCTTTTAATTGTACCCACTGTTTGGTGGAGTGCAGGTGTGACAAGTCGTAAACCCTAGTTAGAGGAAATGTTTGATGGTAGGTTTCTACATCTGGGAGACCTAGTCCTCCTTCCTCTTTTGGTCTTGTGAGTAAAGAATATGGCAGTCGGGGTCATTTATGAGCCCATATGAAAGTTGTAAAGGCTCTGCGGACCGTAGCGAATAGGGTTTTGGGTAGGGATATTGGCAGCACCTGTAGTAGATATAGTATGTGGGGCAGGACATTCATCTTCAGGATGTTCAGTCTGCAGAACCATCCAAAGTGTGGCATATTCCAAAAGATTAGGTCTAAAGTTATGGATTGGAGTAGATGAGGTAAGTTGCTATCGTATAACTGTGTAATTAAATTGGCAATATGTACACCCAGGTACTTGATGGACTTAATAGCCCATGAAAATGGGTGGGTTTTCTGGAGTATTTCCTTGGTATCAGGGGGTAGCTATAATGGGAGGATTTTGAATTTACTGAGATTCACCTGAAAATTTGAAATTCTTCTGTATAGAGACATTTCTGACATGAGATGGGGTAGTGTGGCAATGGGATTTGAGATGGTGAACAGCATATTGTCTGCAAACGCGGCAATTTTGTGTTCAGTTTACCCTATTTGGATACCTTGGATCTGGGGGTTGTCTCTAATGCCCTGGAGGAATGGCTCCAGGACTAATACAAATAGGAAGGGGAGAGGGGACATCCCTGCCTATTGCCATTTGAGAAAGGCACTGGATCTGAGAGTTGGCCATTGATACGTAACCTTACTATGGGTCCACCCACCCTGGACCCAAGACCGGGCTCCAGCTTCCAGTGGGTGAACCTCTCCTTAGTCCAGAGAGCGAAACGAGAACAGGAACAGGAACAGCTCTTACAAGAGCTAGTGATTATACTCTGGGGAGTATAGTGATTATAGCAATCCTTAGAGTGTAGTTCTCCAATCCCCCAAACATGAGCCAAGACTTCATGAAGGGTAGAACAGGTCTGTTTAATGTAAGCCAGCATTCACAATTTATATCCCCTGGACCTGATGGAACACAGGCACACAAAGGACAAAAAACAATCAAAACAATATAATAATGTCCGACACTCCCACACACAGCACACAAGCCCTCCCCTCTGCCTGGGATATAATTAAAGCAGCTAATACAATAACCTAATTATCCACAGCAGAAAAACACACATTTTCCCCAAAGTCTAGAAAACACCCCAAAACATAACACATCCCCTGATCTGGGTGAGCAACATATCCAAAAAACACCTAGATCAGAGCAGGGGTTCAAAAGTTTTATGGAAGTCTCTTTTGACCGACCACACGCATGATTTCATGCCCAAAACAGTTCCAGAGAATTTGGCTGTGCAGCCGGTCTATTTCCAATGTTAAATTCAGTTCAAATAGACGACCGGCAACCGCAGGCACAGCTGAAGTTTAGAGAAGGTAAAGTTTCAGCTGTGTTCGTGCCGTCGCGTGTCCGATTTGAGTTCCATGAACTTAACGACAAAACACTGCTGAACTCGTTCGACTGAATTAAAATGGCCGCCGCCACGTGTTCGAATGTCAAATGGCATCCACTTCCACTACTTCGACACTTTGGCTGTATCCGAAGTGCAACTTCAATGGTGTAAAGCTGTTCCCATATAATTTAAAGGAGCAGAAACAGTATTTTAAAATCCAATATGCCCAAATAGAGCTTTTAAAAGGCCATACATCACAGGGGCCATAGTTACAGGGCAAGAGGCTGGCAAGCAGGCCTCTCCAAATCCCAGTGATAAAGGTGCTTTCGTCACATCCACGATACATGTATCTGTGAGTTCCAGAGCTCTAAGGAATGGGGACACAGCTTGGTGCGTTGCTATTGTATGTGTAGTTCCCCTGTTGGCGACAATTATCCCCCAACAATATCTGATGTTTCGAGCTCTCAGATGGTCTGTATTGGGCCAGAGGGCCCTTCTAACTTGAAGGGTGAGCCACTTGAGGTTTGGATATATTTTGATTTTGTGACCGTGAAATAGTAGCTGAGAGAAAGTATCTTTTAATTTTATTCAGCACGTCCTCTTTGACAGTGTAGTAGTGGAGGCAGCACAGTATGTCCCGTGGCGCCTCTCCTGGGTTATTTTTGGGCATTAATAAATGGTGCACCCTATCTAGGAGTATGGGTACTCCCGCAGCGCGGCCTAGTATCAGATTAAACAGTTCTGTCAGGGTGCTCGTTAGGTCTTCAGTTGTGACCTCCGGTAATCCCCTGATTTGGAGATTATTCCTCCGGCCCCTATTTTCTATATCATCAAGGGATCTCTGGAGTAGGACATGTATTTGTCGTTGGATTCGACTTTGGAGGATAAGCTGGGCTTATAAGGGCCCCCTCTCATCTTCTATGTCTTGGACTCTGCGGCCCACCTGCCGGATATCGGAGCTGAGGCCATCTAGCTTGTTTTGGAAGGAGGTCTCCAGTTTACCCAGCATGACTGCAAGATCGGTTTTGGACGGTAAGTTCCGGAGTAGGTCTTTGATGTCGAGGTCTGTAGAACCCATAGAAACCTCTGATACCGCCAGGCTAGGCAGATCGGAGTCAGAGTGGAAGTCCGTCGGCACCATATAATGGATTAGCTGGGACAGCTTTGATAAAGTTCACGTTTTGCCAGTCGGGGTCTTTCCTGGGCCTGCGTAGGATCTTTGGGATCTCTTGGGGTTCCCCATGTCTGCTTGTAACCTCCAATTTGTAAGATTTTGTGCCTGTATTAACATGCAGCAATTCAGTTCGGTAGTTGGCCACGCTTGCATTCATGTGACCAGCTGGCAGACTAGTTGTGATAGCACTAAGAGACTGAGAGAGGTAAACAACATTCCATTTACAAAAAAGATTAGGTGTACACTCAGTATTGGAAATTAATGATAAAAACCACCACTGGTGTGCATATGGAGCGCATACAAATTTGTTGACTCACCCATATGGGTTAACGTACATATGTATGGAAAACGTGACTCATAGCGATATATCTGAAACAAATGTAAATGCAAGAAATAGTGCAGATAACGTTTTCAATAAGTGCAGTGAGGGAATATTCTATATGGTCTCACTCACATGTAGCAGAGCCCTATAGAATAGGCTCAGATCTCAATGGCCTGCGTGTGCTTATGGTGACACAGTACCCAATCGGTCCTCTAGGCGTC